TGACGATGAGGACGGACGACGACGACGATGACGACGATAACGATGACGATGACGACGACGACGACGATGACCACGACGACGATGAAGATGTCGACGACGATGTCAATGACGATACGCCACTCCGCCAACCCCCACGACGACGACGACGATAACGACGATGACGACGGACAAAGATGACGACGACGATGACGATGACGATGACGACGACGATGACGACGACAACGTTGACTGCGACGATGACGATGACGATACGCCACTCCGCCAACCCCCACGACGACGATAACAACGATGACGACGATCATGACGACGCCGATGACGACGACGATGACGACGACGACGACGACGATGACGATGACGACGACGATGACGACGACGACGATGACTAGTACGATGACGATGACGACGACGATGGCGACGACGATGACGACGACGAGGACGCCGACGACGACGATGACGAAGACGACGGCGATGCCGATGACGATGACGCTGACGACGACGACGATGACGATGGCGACGACGACGACGATCAAGACGATGACGACGTCGACGATGACGACGATGAGGACGACGACGATGACGACGACGCTGACGACGACGATACGCCACTCCGCCAACCCCCACGACGACGACGATGACGATGACGACTGACGGCGATGACGACGATGACGCTGACGATGACGATGACGACGGCGACGACGATGACGACGGCGATGAAGATGACGACGACGACGACGACGATGACGATGACGCTGCCGATGACGATATGCCACTCCGCTTACTCCCACGAGGACGACGACGGTGAGGATGTCGACGACGGACGACGATGACGACGATGATGACGACGACGATGACGATGACGACGACGATGACGACGACGGTGACGATGACGACGACGATGACGATGACGATACGCCACGCCGCCAACGACGACGACGGTGACGATGACGATGACGACCACGACGACGACGACGACGATGACGATGACGATGACGATGACGACGACGATGATGATGAAGACGATGACGACGACGATGACGACGACGATGACGATGACGACGACCACGATGATGATCACGATGACGAGGACGTCGACGATGTCGACGACGACGATGACGACGACGATGACGACGACGATGACGACGACGACGAGGAAGGCGACGACGACTATGATACAGACGACGACGATGACGATGACGCTGCCGCTGACGATGACGACGGCGACCACAATAACGATGACGACGACGATGACGACGACGACGATGACGATGACGACGACTACGATGACGATGACGACGACGATGACGACGACGCTGACGACGACGATACGCCACTCCGCCAACCTCCACGACGACGATGACGACGACGATGACGATGACGATGACGATGACGACGACGGCGATGACGACGACGACGAAAAAAGATGACGACGACGATGACGACGATGACGATGAGGATACGCCACTCCGCCAACCCCACGACGTTGATATCAACGATGACAACGGACGACGATAACGACGCCGATGACGATGTCGACGACGACGACGATGTCGACGACGACGATGACGACGACGATGACGATGACGATACGCCACTCCGCCAACCCTTACGGCGACGACGACGACGTTGACGATGGCGACGACAATGACGACGACGATGACGATGACGACAGCGACGACGATGACGATGACGACGGCGATGACGACGATGCCGAAGACGACGATGACGATGACGACGATGACGACGCCGATGTCGACGACGACGATGACGACGACGATGACGACGACTACGATGAGGACGACGAGGGAGACGACGCCGACGATGATGATGACGATGACGACGACGATGTCGACGACGACGATGACGACGATGTCGACGATGACGACGACGATGACGACGACGAGGACGGCAACGCAGACGACGACGATGACGAAGACGGCGACGGCGATGACGATGACGATGACGCCGACGATGACTACGACGATGACGACGACGATGACGATTTCGACGGACGACGACGACGACGATGACGACGACGATGACGACGACAACGACGATGACGCCGACGATGAACTCCGCCATTCCCCGCGACGACGACGTCGACGATGACGATGATGACGACGACGATTACGACGACGATTGCGATGACGTTGACGATGACGACGAGACGGCGATGACGACGATGCCGAAGACGGCGATGACGATGACGACGATGACGACGCCGATGTCGACGACGACGATGACGACGACGATGACGACGACTACGATGAGGACGACGAGGGAGACGACGAAGACGATGATGATGACGATGACGCTGACGATGACGACGACGACGACGTCGACGACGACGATGACGACGACGAAGATGACGATGACGACGACGATGACGACGACGATGACGACGACGATACGCCACTCCGCTAACCCCCGCGACGACGACGATGACGACGATGACGACGGACGACGACGACGACGACGACGACGATCACGATGACGATGACGATGACGACAATGACGACGACGACGATGAACATGACGACGACGATGACGACGATGACGATGACGATACGCCACTCAACCAACCCCCACGACGACGATGACGACGATGACGACGGACGACGATGACGACGACGATGACGATGACGATGACGATGACGACGACGACGACGATCACGACGACGATGACGTTGACAATACGCCATTCCGCCAACCCCCACGACCACGTCGACGACGATCACGATGACGACGACGACGATGACGACGACGATGACGATGACGGTGACGACGATGACGACGACGACGATGAATATTACGACGACGACGATGACGATGACGACGACGATGACGACAACGATACGCCACTCCGCCAGCCCCCACGACGACGACGATGACGATGACGACGACGATGACGACGACGATGACGATGACGATGACGATGACGATGACAATGACGATGACGATGACGATGACAATGACGATGACGACGACGATGACGACGATGCCGAAGTTGACGACAACGACGACGATGACGCTGACGATGATGATGACGACGACGACGACGATGAATATGATGACGACGGCGACGACGACGACGACGAGGACGACGACGACGTTGACGACCCCCAGAGGAGGGAGGTCCACGCGTGGGGCCTCCGGGGGCCTCTTGTCGGCGGCCAGCCTGGGGGGGCCCCGAGGCAGGCCTCCCGCGGGCGCACGGGGCCCCCGCCAGGCGTCCAAAGACCTCGACCCTCGATCCGCGACGGCTGCGGGGCCCTCCGGGGGTCGGGGAGGAAGAGGAGGAGGAGGAGGAGGAGGAGGAGGAGGAGGAGGACGGGGAGGAAGAGGAGGAGGAGGAGGAGGAGGAGGACGGCGGCGGCGATGACGACGATGCTGACCTCGACGACGACGACGGCGACGGGGAGGTCGACGGAGGTGGCAGCGGCAATGAACCGCGACGGCCTCGTTGGCGCCACGGCACCGCGCGGTGGCCAGGCCCGGCGACTGGCCCAGCATGATGTCTCCACGGAAGCGTGCACGCGCACCGGGCCGCGTCCGGAGCAGCCGAGGTGCCGCCCTCGGGCCAGGCCCACTCCGGCACGCATAGGCACCTCAAAAGGACTCCGTGCATTTTTCCCATGCCCACGTCGAGCTTCCCGAGTAGAGAGGTCCCTGGAAGTCCCCTGCAGGTCCTCTGGAGTTCTCTGCAGAGGCCTCCCGCGGGCGCACAGAGCCCCCGCCAGGCCTCCAAAGACCTCGACCCTCGATCCGCGACGGCTGCGGGGCCCTCCGGGGGTCTGCAGAGGGGAGGCCCGCGGGAGGCTTCCGTGAGGCGCAGGCATCCCAAGAGGACCTCCCAGAGCTTCGATCTGCGATCTTCGGCCAGGGTCTGAGTGCGCTTCTTCGCCGTTCGCGCTGCCGCAGGCGCTCCCGCGCGCAGCTGGCACGAGGGTGTTAGGACAGCCCCACCTTCTGATGCTCGGGCGTTCCACCTCGGAGTGATACTCGCCTCAGGCGTCTCGGCGGCCAGCCCGGGGGAGAAGTGAGGCTCGGAAGTCCACCAGCCTTCCGAGAGGTATTCGAAGCCTTCCCCGAAGGCACAGAAAGCTTCTTGCAGGGCAGGAGGCCTTCCGAGAAGTCCAGCCGCCTTCTGAGAAGGCCTTCTCCTTCTCACTTCCCCCCCCTCGCTCGCCGCCGATCTTGGGGGCCCTCTGGGGGGCATCTCCTGGGCCTTTGGGGAGCCTCCTCGGGCCTCTTGGGAGTTCCTTGGGCGCCTGCTGGCCCTCTCGGGGGTCCTCCGGGGGGTCAGGGCTCGGAATGTCAGTTCGAGTTGCCTCTCTTGGGCTTCTCTTGGGGCCTTGTTGGGGCTCTCTTGGGCCATCTTGGCCGCCTCTTGGGCCGTCTTGGGACCCTCTTCGGCCGTCTTGGGGGCCTCTTGGGCCGTCTTGGAGCGATCATGAGGGCCTCTTGAGCCGTCTTCGACGCTAATAAAACCAAAAATGCGAGCATGTTCAAATTATTTGTTTCCCCGAGTGATTTGGACGATTCTTGCTTGTGGGGGCCCTCCTGAGGGTCGGTTTGGAGCCCCGTTGCGGCGTTTTGGAAGCCTCTTGGATAGTCTTGAGGCTATCTTTGTCGTCTTCGAGGGCCTGTGCGTGTTGGAACCCTGCTTGAGCAAGCGTAGATCGATTCTTCGGGATCTTGGAGGCCACCGAGTGTAGGAATGGAGGCTCCGGAGGCCCCCGGGGAGCGTTGGTGAGCTCGGGGACCCCCCCGTTCCCGGCCCTCCCCCCTCTGATCGAATTTCAGACCCCAGTGGAGTGGGAAAGGGGGAGTCGGGGGCGGCAAAGAGGGGGGTGATGATTAGGGGGGGGTGGGTATCATGGCGGGGGCCATGATATTTCCCCAGATTTCAGGGCGCCTCTTCTTATTTCATTACGTCCCTGGCCACCCCCGCTGGGCCGCGCACATGCCGCCGGTCATGATTTGCACCCCCCCCTCTAGGACACTCCCGTCTTGGCCGCTCCTGGGGGAGAGGAGGAGCCAATCATCTCACACGCCTTTGCACCCCCAGCAAGCGGGGGTCGGCGGATTTTGATGCGAGCACGGATCGGATGGACGGAGAGAACTCGAGGAAGTGGGTGTTTTTCCTTGATGGTGGTGGCGAGTGCTCATCGGTAGAGGAATGCTTGCCCAAGTTGGAGTCGCCCCTCGGTTCGAGCGATTTCTTCCCGAACAGCAAGTCGGATCTGCCGAAACTCGCGAGCTGGAAGGAGTCGGTGAACCCAGGATTCCACAACTGGAATCGGGTGTTCCTGATGTACTGCTCCCAGGACCTGTGGACGGGGCAGCACGGCGCGGCGAAGGCTTCGTCGAAAGACCTTCCTCCAGATGGTGGTCCCCTCCTGCGCTTCCAAGGACACACGATTCTCAAGGAGGTGCTCGATTACTTTGACACGGACCTGCAGCACGCCACCGACATCATCTTGTCGGGCGAGTCGGCGGGCGGGCTGGGCGTCTTCAACAACATCGACTACGTGGAGAAGAGGTACAGGGAGTCAGCTGGGAAGGCGAAGAAGCATCGCACCTCGGTGGTGGCCGCACCCATTGCGGGAATGTACTTCTACGCGCATCCGTTCGAGGGACCAGGACACACGGGCAGTGATCTGTCCGATTTCCGCGAGCCCGCTTGGGCTTCACACTACGAGTTCTGGGATAGCCGAGTGAATGTTGAGTGCTCGGCGAGGCTGCCACCTCACACCTGTCTCCTCCCGAACATCACTTTCCCGTTCATTACCGCGCCAGTCTTCGTTTCGGAGGCGCAGACCGACAAGGTCCAGCTCACCGCACACGATTGGGTCGACGCGATTTCGGTGCAGCACCATGAGCCCCATGTGATGGCTTATTTGGCAGAGTGGCAGAAAAACATGACTCAGGCCTTGCATTGCCACGTGCTGGGGAAGTGTTCGAACGGTTGTGAGGCAGGTCAGAGAAGTATTACCGCGATTGTGGACCAGCTTCCCAATAATGACCTAATGAGCATGAAACCAAAGCTCGAGCGCGGCTTTTTCAATCCAGCTTGCTTTATCCACACCGAATTTACTCACGTCGACGGGCCGTGGATCGGCGACTACAGCTACGCGACGGCGCTCCAAGAGTGGTACTACCAGGACCGCAGCTTTTACTTGGAGGACGGGCCTGAAGTGGGGATCATGCAGGGCCATTGCGCCGCTCATGGTTAGCTTCTGAGTGCAAGGGTTACCCACCAGGGCGCGACAGTCGGTACGCTTTGAATGCGCTCAGGCAGAAGCCCTGAGGCTTCGGGGCCCAGCAGCGCATCGTCCAGCAAGGGGGAAACATTTCGCCTTATGTGGACCCCAAAGGTTGCCCCAGGCCTCCAATAGACTCGGAGGTGATTCAGAGAGGCCCCGAGAGGCCGAGGAGCGGCTCCAAGAGGTTATAACAGTAGGGCCCATTTCGATTCGATATCTCCGATCCGATGTTGATGTCGCCCGTCTCGATCCGACTCGATTGAACATGCCAGGCAATCCGATGCGGCCCAGCGATTGCCCAGCGTAGCTGTGTACTCCAGATTTCGTAATAAAGGGAGGGGGGTCTCATTTCGGGGGGGGTCTCTTCCAGGCTATCTTGGAGGGCCTGGGGGGTCTGGGGACGATGTTTTGGAGGGTTCTCCCACGGGGGAGGCCTGAAATGGCTTGTCTTGGAGGGTCCAGACCCTCTCCCTTTTTATTACGAAATCTGGCGTAGCTGTGCATCCCAGCGCGACCCGTTCGATTCGATGTCGATTCCGTGATGAAGGAGCCCTGTTCGAGGCGCGTTCCGCTCTCGGCCCACCTGGCGGCCCAGCGCGGGCAGCTCCTGCCGAGGGGCGCGCAGGTGGGCGCCCCGTGCAGCCCAGATCGGTGGATGATGGCACATGCTTCGAGCCTCCTCCTCCCCCTCCTCCTGCCCCCTCCTCCTCCTCCTCCTCCTCCTCCTCCTCTTTCTCCTCCTCCAGCTCCTCCTCCTCCTCTTTCTCCTCCTCCAGCTCCTCCTCCTCCTCCCCCTTCGTCGGGCTTTCGGTTCAAACGGGCGTCCAAGAGACTGTTTCGTTCAAGGTCCCGCGAGAACCCCGGGTTATCGGGCTTGCCCCCCCTCCCCCCCTCCCAGGATAGCCTAACCTTGCTGGTTGTGCAGGTCCGGGGTGGAGGGGCGCGGGCATGTGCAGGGCTGCCCACAGCGCGAAGGTTAGGTTATCGGCCGGACCCCTCCTCCCCCCCGGATAACCTGGGTTATCGCCGATTCGAAAAAGGGTCTGCAAGAGTGTTTCGACGGGTTCCAAGACTCACTGCCCACCAAACCACCCCAACCCAACCCTAAGGCCCCGATACGTAGGCAGGCAACGACGGCCCCCCAAGCCGCCCAGGAGGCTCCTGTAACCGATCCGCTGCGGGTTTGCGCGCCCGCGGGGGCCCAGAGCACCCGTTCGAGAGCTCGCGCAGGGCCGCCGGGGGGGGCTCCCGCAGACCTTGGGCCGCCCGTGGGCGGCGCGGAGCGAGCCGAAAACCGCACCGGCGCGAAGTCGGGCGGCCCCGGGTCCCAAGAGGTCTCTGGTCAGGCGATCGCAAACATTCGGGGGCGGCAATGGCAATGAGGGGGGTGATGACTAGGGGGGGGGGATATCATGGCGTGGGCCATGATATTTCCACTGATTTCATGGCGCCTCTTCTTGTTTCATTACGTCCCTGGCCCCCGCCCCCCTTGGGCCGCGCACATGCCGCTGGCCAAGATTTGCGCCCCCCCTCTTGGACGCCCCCCTCTTGGCCTCCCCCGAAACATGGATTCAGGGGGCGTGGATTGGCAACGGGTCCCGTTTCCGTGGGAAATCGCGGATGTCCGCCGCCGAGCGAGGCTGCGCCGGCCGCATTTGAGGGAGGGCTCCTCCCCCAATCCATGGATTTGGCGACCGCGCGCCAAGTCCATGGATCGCTAATCCATGTTGGCGCGCCCCCGATCTGAAGGTCTCCATGCATATGTTGGCAGAGGAACAACAACTACAAGCATGAATTGTCGGAGCTCCGCGCGGATTTCTTGGATCTGCGTTGAGCGCCAAGAGTTTGTGTGTTATGGCGTTGTCTCTTCTTCTGAAGAGGTCTCTGGAGGTCTCCATGTATATTTGGACGCTCGACATGGGTACGAAGAAAATGGGCACAGTGTCCAACAACACGTGCTGTCCAACACGAACCGCGGTTGCCGTCGGCAGGCGCCCCTCTGCTTTCAGTGGATAACGACCGCGGTGACGCCGACAACGACAGGCTTAGGATCCCTCCCGGAAGGCCCGGATACTTCCGAGCCTTCTGAAAAGGCCCGCCCTTTCTCGCTCTCCCCCTGGGGGCGCGCCGCCGAGACGCCTGAGGCGAGTGCCACTCCGCGGTGCCACGCCCGCGCATCAAAAACACGAGGGCACCCCGCAGAAGGTGGGGCTGTCCTAACACCCTCGTGCCAGCTGCGCGCGGGAGCGCCTGCGGCAGCGCGAACGGCGAAGAAGCGCACTCAGACCCTGGCCGAAGATCGCAGATCGAGGCTCTGGGAGGTCCTCTTGGGATGCCTGCGCCTCACGGAAGCCTCCCGCGGGCCTCCCCTCTGCAGACCCCCGGAGGGCCCCGCAGCCGTCGCGGATCGAGGGTCGAGGTCTTTGGAGGCCTGGCGGGGGCTCCGTGCGCCCGCGGGAGGCCTCTGCAGAGAACTCCAGAGGACCTGCAGGGGACTTCCAGGGACCTCTCTACTCGGGAAGCTCGACGTGGGCATGGGAAAAATGCACACAGTCCTTCTGAGGTGCCTACGCGTGCCGCAAGAGTGGGCCTGGCCCGAGGGCGGCACCTCGGCTGCACCGGACGCGGCCCGGTGCGCGTGCACGCTTCCGTGGAGGCATCCTGCTGGGCCAGCCGCCTGGCCTTCGACGGCCACCGCGCGGTGCCGCGGCGCCAACGAGGCCGTCGCGGTTCGTTGCCGCTGCCACCTCCGTCGACCTCCCCGTCGCCGTCGTCGTCGTCGAGGTCAGCATCGTCGTCGTCGCCGCCGCCGTCCTCCTCCTCCTCCTCCTCCTCCTCCTTCTCCTCCTCTGCCTCCTCCTCTTCCTCCCCGTCCTCCTCCTCCTCCTCCTCCTCCTCCTCCTCCTCCTCCTCCTCCTCCTCCTCCTCTTCCTCCTCCTCCTCCTCCTCCTCCTCCTCCTCCTACCTCGTCGACAGGTCGTCGAGGTCGGCGTTGTCGAGGGCGTCGTCGTCAACGTTCACGGGCCCTGCGGGGTGGCCCGGGGCCGCGGGCCCCGTGCAGGCGCTCCTTCGAGACCGGCAGCGACGACAACCTGACCGCCCTGGTCATCGCTTGGCAGAACGCCGACGACGAGGCCGCGGGATGCGGGCGGAGGAGGGCGAGAAGGGGAGGAGCAACGATGAGGAGCGACAGAGATACGTAGGGGCCGAGAGGAGGAGGAGGAGGGCCAGGAGGAGAGTCACGAGGAGGAGGAGGAGGAGGAGGAGAAGGAGGAGGAGGAGGAGGAGGAGGAGGAGGGCCAGGAGGAGCGTCAAGAAAAGGAGGAGCAGGAGGAGAAGGAGGAGAAGTCAGCAACTTCTTGGTGTGCAGATTGAGGATTCAATGCTTACCACACTGCCTGCTGCTCGCACAGGTGATCATGTGCTTGCCAACTCTGCCGCTACTCTGGCTGTGCTCCCTCGGCACTTGGCAGCGAAGCATCTACATTACAGCCGGACTTGATTGGACAGTACACCCGAGAGAACAGAAGACTCTTCCGACGGCAACGTGGCCCCACAACACCAAAGGACATGCGGATCGCGCCGGTCGGGATAGTGTTCGTTTTCTTATTCATGGTTTTGCCGATCGGTGCGGGCCCTCGCACACCCCTCCCTCCCCCTGCCCTGGAGTGGATCTTGGCTGTTTTTGTCGCCTGTATCGGGCAGGTGGAGTCCCTCCCCCATAGGACGCACTGTTGCAAACAGTCGCACTAAACAGAGGTCCGGAGCCAGACCCCCTCCCTCCCCCCGTTTTCGCTCAATGTCGAAACGCCGAATAAGACATCGCTCACGACAGGACACAAGGGTACCCTCGATTTGGCATGGTCGGCATACTTACTAATCAGGGCCGACTGCATCAACGGTTGGGACTTGGTCATGATGGGCTTGCCAGAACTTCAGCAACAAAAATCAAGCTGTGTTCCCTTTGTGGGATCCATTTGTTTTCCTTCCATTGCTATTCTGGGGCTGGGGGGTCGGGGTTCAGCCGACAGTTGCCACCAGGGCACCGCCAACCCTGCTGTCGCTGGTGCTTGTTATCCCGCCTCGGAGGCGGGCGGCGTGCACGGCGCTGCACGCGGCTCGGCACGTGGCATGCGGCACGGCACCGCGCTGGGCACGCGGGACGGCCCACTGCACGGCCCACTGCACGGTGAAGCCCAGTTCCCCGAGGCGTTGCTGTGCGGCGCGGCACCTCGGGCGCGGGCGGGGCGCGGCGACGGGCGACTGAAGATCGATTGAAGCCAGCCGTGTGCGACGAGGGCTCCCCAGAGTCCTCCTGTCATGGGGCAAGGGCCCGAGACTCACGAGGAAACAGAGGAGGAGGAGTAGTAGTAGGAGGAGGGGGAGGAGGAGGTGGAGGAGGAGGAGGAGGAGGAGGAGGAGGAGGAGGAGTAGGAGGGGGATGAGGAGGATGAGCTAGTGGAGGCGGAGGAGGAGGAGGGGGACGAGGAGGAGGAGGAGGAGGAGGCGGAGGAGGGACCAGCTGCGGAGCGCGCTCGGCCAGGAACGCGAGCTCGTCGCTCGCGCAGCGCTGGCGGCGGAGCCGACCAGCTAGCGGGCTTGGCGGCGCTGGCAGGGCGCGCCCGTTGGCCCGTGCAGTGGATGCCCCTTGTGTTTGGACCCAACCCACAGGCTCATGAGGTACCGTGGTTTTCTCTGGTGTCGTACCTGCGGGGAGGTCGGGGCCAGCAATTTCTGCATCTTGGGGAAGCCCTGTAATGCCAGCCACCCCATCCCCAAACACAGGGGGAGGGCCATCAGCGCCCTTGAAGAGAATAGGTTGCCTCCTGGGTATACAGAGTGGCCCCAGCCAGACGATCTGGAGCCCCCCCAGACGATCTGGAGCCCCCCCAGAGACGTAATCATGTAGTGGCATGACCACAGCGCTACCTGTTGGAGGATTCATGCGCAAGGATCGGTAAGCGGTAAGAGGAGGAGGAGGAGGGGGAAGGGGAAGGGGGAGGGGGAAAGGGGGAAAGGGAAAAGGGGAAAGGGAGGGTGAGGGGGATGGGGAAAGAG